GTACCATCTCATACCTGTCAGAATGACTATCATCAACAAATCAACAAATGACAAGTGCTGGCAAGGATGTGGAGAAAAAGGAACCCTCATGTACTGCTGGTGGGAATGCAGACTGGTGCAGCCACTGTGCAAAACAGTATAGAATTTCCTCAAAAAATTAAAAATGGAACTCCTAGTTGACCCAGTAATCCCACTTCTAGGAATATATCCAAAGAAATCAAAAAGGATATATGCACCCCCATGTTCATAGCAGCACAATTTTACAATAGCTAAGATTTGGAAACAGCCTAAGTGCCCATCAGCAGATGAGTGGATTAGAAAACTGTGATACATCTACACAATGGAATACTACGCTGCTGTAAAAAAAGAAGGAACTCTTACCATTTGCAACAGCATGGATGGACCTGGAAAGCATTATTCTAAGTGAAATAAGCCAGTTGGACAAAGATAAATATCACATGATCTCACTCATTAGTGGACTACAATGAACAACATAAACAAAAATAGATCCAGAGACATAGAAGCATAAACAGACCTTCAAACTTCAGAGGGAAGGGACAGGGGGGAGGGGGTAAGAGATCAACCAAAGGACTTGTATGCATGCATATAACAATAACCCATAGACACAGACAGTAGGGGGGTGAGGGCATGTGGTGGGGGGTGGGAACAGCCAGGGAGAGGTCAATGGGGGAAAAAGGAGACATATGTAATACTTTGAACAATAAATAATTTAAATTTTTTATAATGTATCAAAGGACACCCATTGTTTTTCATGTCTTAACCACCATGAGTAGTGCTGCAATGAACATAGGGGTTGGTAAGTCTTTACAAATAAATGTTTTCATATCTGGGGGTTATATATATCCAGAATAGGGGGTGCTGGGTCATATGAAACTCTATTCTTAATTTTTTGAGAAACCTTCATACTGTTTTCTATAGTGGTCTTCCAGTTTACATTCCTATCAGAAGTGAATGAGGGCTCCTTTTTCTCCACAACCTCTCCAACACTTGTCATTACTTGTCTTGTTGATAATAGCCATTCTAACAGGTGTGAGGTGGTATCTCATTGTAGTTTTGATATGCATTTCTCCAGTAGTTAGAGAATTTGAGTATCTTTTCATATATCTTCTTGAGAGAAATGTTTGTTCAGGTCCTCTGCCCATTTTCATTGCATTGTTTGTTTGTTGTTGAGTTGTATGAGTTCTTTGTATATTTTGGATATTATCCCCTTGTTGAAGCTGTTGTTTGCAAATATCATCTCCCATTCAGTTGGTTGACATTTTGTGTTGTTGTTTCCTTTTGCTGTGCAAAAGCCTTTTAGTTTGATATAATTCCATTCATTTATTTTTGTCTTCACTTCCCTTGCCTTTGGGGTTAAATTCATAAGAATGTTCTCCACAAGATCCATAAGTTTATTATCTATGTTTTCTTTCATGCAATTTACTGTTTCAGATCTTATATCTCAGCATTTGATCTATTTTGAATTAATTTTTTTAAAAATATATTTTCTTGATTTTTCACAGAGAGGAAGGGAGAGAGATAGAGAGAGTTAGAAACATCGATGAGAGAGAAACATCGATCAGCTGCCTCCTGCACATCCTGTGCCCGCAACCCAGGTACATGCCCTTGACCAGAATCGAACCCGGGACCTCTCAGTCCGCAGGCCGACGCTCCATCCACTGAGCCAAACCGGTTTCGGCTATTTTGAATTAATTTTTGTACATGGGGACAAACAATAGTCTATTTCCATTCCAATTTTCCCAGCACCATTTAATGAAGTGGCTTTCTTTTCTTCATTTTATCTTTTTGGCTCTTTTATCAAAAATTATTTGCCCATACACCGTTATCCTATATAATCAAAGCCTAATATGCTGTGTATGGTTGTCTGTTCAACCAATCAAAGGGTAATATGCTAAGGCCATTCAAACGCTCACTATGATGTGCACTGACCACCAGGGGGCAGACAGTCAACTGGTTGACCAGTAGCTATGATGTGCACTGACCACCAGGGGGCATATGCTTCCATCGTAGGTTAGCTTGCCGCTGGGGTCCGGCAGATCGGCACTGAGCAAGATGGGCCAAACACACCCTGGAGCCTTCCTGCGGTCCCTCCCTGGCTGGCCAACCTCCTGTGTCCCTCCCCCGGCTCTGACCATGCACCAGTGGGGTCCCTTGGCCTGGCCTGCACCCTATGGCAATCCAGGACCCCTCAGGGGATGTTGGAGAGCTGGCTCTGGCCTGATCCCGCAAGCCAGGCCAAGGGACCCCACTGGTGCACGAATTCGTGCACTGGGCCTCCAGTCATGATATAGAACAGTTCCAATGCCCCCCTCCAAATTCCCCCATTCCTGATAGTCAACTCATCTCCACTCCCAGCTTCTAGCAAATTTGGATCTGTTTTTTCCCCTATTATTTTCTTTTTTTCCAGAGTATCGTAAAAGTAAAATCATCATAGAGTACGTGTTTTTTTTTTTTCACTTAGCAACATACATTTGAGATTTATCCTTACTGCTGCATATATGATAGTCTGTTCCTTTTTATTGCCTAGCTTTATTATTCCATTATATTAATTGATATACTTGCATTTGATCATTCATTCACAGTTGAAAGCTATCTGAGTTGTTTCCAGTTTGTGGCAATGATAAATAAAGCTATTACAAGTGTTTACATCTCATTTTTTAATGAACATACACTTTTATTTTTTTGTTAATTACCGCCTGAGGATATTTTTTTTCCATTGCTATTCAGAGAGAGTGGACAAGAAGGAAGGAGGGGAATAGAGACAGAGGAGAGAGAGAAAAAAACATGATGTGAGAGACACCCATCAATTGGTTGCCTCCTGCATGTACCCCAACCAGGGCCAAGGTTGGAACTTACAACCCGGGTACATGCTCTTGACACTCTAATGACATGACCATGGCTAATAAACATACATTTATTTTTATCTTGGATAAGTAACTAGAAGTAGACAACTGAATCCTATAGTAAGTGCAGATTTAACTTTGTAGAAACCTGTTATCTTGTTTTTTCAAGTAGCTGTGCCATTTTCCATTCGACCAGCAATATTTGAGAGTTCTAGTTGTTCAACATTCTTGTACTTAAGTATTGTCAGTATTTTTAAAAAAACTAGACATTCTAATAAGTGTGTAGATGTACCTAATTATGGTTTTAATTTCAATTTTTCCCTAGTGACTATGTTGAGTATCTTTTCATATTAGCCAACCATATATCTTCCTTGATGACATGCCTGTTCAAACACATTACCCAATTTTTAATCAGGTTGTTTTCTTATTATTGACTTTGGAGAGTTATTTATGTGTTCTGGATATGAGACCTTTATCAGCTATGTGTTTTGCAATTATTTTCTCCCAGTCAATTTGTCTTTTTATTTTCTTAACAGTGTTTTTCAAAGAGTTAGTCTCTACCACCCTTTTATTAAACTACAATTTTAGTCTATCCTTTTTCAGTTTCTAAGCTCTCAGGTTAACAATTCGCACCAATTCCTAATGAGCAAATTATAATATTTTGGAACCTTATGGGGATAGAAGATAACCAACTTTAAAGACAGCATGCTTCTATATACGATTTATTTGAATACTATAACAATCAGGAATTCTCTTGGCTGAAAGTAGCAAAAAGTCAAACTTTAGTGGCTTAAACATATAGGATTATTTTGTTGTTGTTGTTGCAAGTTGAGAGAAATGCAGCTGCTTGCCAGGATTCATTATATTTACACTTAGGACAGGAAGTAGAGAAGGGAAAAGGACAGAACTTGTACCAAGAGAGCAAAACTTTCCCAGAAGTCTCTCTGCTACTTTCAATTGAATTCTCATTGGACAGAACTGGGTCATAGAGCCAGGCAATGCTTAGCAGAGCCGGTTGGGTTCGGAGGGCTTACCTAGTGTCTTCCTCACACAGCAACTTTTATTTATTTATTTTATTTCTTTAATATATTTTTATTTCAGAGAAGGGAGAGGGAGAGAGAGAGAGATAGAAGCATCAATGATGAAAGAGAACTGTTAATCTGCTGCCCCCTGCATGCCCCATACTGGGGACTGAGCCTGCAACCCAGACATGTGGCCTGACCAGGAATTGAACCAGTGACCTCTTGGTTCATGGGTCCATGCTCAACCACTGAGCCACACCAGCCAGCCAATCAATTCTTCTTACGAAGTGTGGATGAACTTCATGTCCTAGGAGATTTCTTCCCAAAAGATCAGGGCCAAATAATGTAGAAAACATTAAATAATAATAATAATCATTACCCTAATTATATTAATGTAAGGCTTAAACATATATTGATTAGTCAGCATAACCTTTATGCTTTCTTCAACATCATTCTGCATCCAGATTCTACCCCCATTCTTACTATTTCATCTAAAAATGAATGGTAACTTGAGCCCATAGTTGGTATGTTGCTCTGTGTTACTAGTTTTAAGGACCTCTTACTTTACTTGTCTTTGTTCTGAATACTTTTTTGTCTATGAATTCTGAGTGTGTCAAGAACAGTAACATACCTACCAACATGCAAAGAAAAGATAGTTATCCTGGTTTTGTGAATATTGATTTGGAAAACTATTTTGAAAGTGTTACATAAATTCAAGAAGTATATTTTTATCACATATTTTACAGATAGAGCTATATATAATGGTAAAATATCTTTACCAACAAAGTAATCTTTATAATATATAGAAGAAAAATAAATATGCGTTTCTATATTTGATAAACATGGTCAGCCAAATTTAAAACCTATGAATAAAAGTGATTGCCTTGTCTGCCCCAAACTCCATTCTTTACCCCTTAGCCCCTCCCCCCCCCCCAAAAAAAAAAAAAAATAAGAAGGATTTTTGGCCCAAGGCATCAGGATAATTGATTCAGATCTATTTCACTTTGTGATAGGGAACTTTTGTATTGCAATGAAAATGTATCATATTGTCTGCAATGAAAGAATTAATATTCTTAATGTTCTTACACATTCCTTTTTTATGTGAACATTTTAGGTGTATCAATATATGCATGAAACGATAACTGTTAATGGCTGTCCCGAATTCCGTGCCAGGGCCACAGCAAAGGTAAGGCTTGAGTAACTTTAAAAATATACTTAACCACAGTGATCTAGTAATTGATTGTGCGCGTGTGTGTTTCAGGTATTCTCGTGTGTACACTGTAAGAGAATTTAGACATCAGTGGCAGCCCAGAGTCTAGAACCAGTACTACTTCCCAGGTAAAAATCCTAATGGAAAATTGAACGTTTCTGCTGCTTCTGTAGCTTAAGAAAGGAGAATGATTTCATTAAACTCACTAAATGTCCATTTGGCACAAGCAAATCTACTCACTCATTGTATGAAATACTACTTGGTTTTCTAACAGATTCCTCTAATCCAAAAAAACCTGTTCCCTATTCAGTGCAAGAAGATTTATTTGAACATGTCTAAAGGTCTGACTTAAGTTAATCATTGAGAGAACTCGCCTGATACCCAACAATGTAGGATCCGTCCATGTATTCAGCTGGGCAGTGGGTAGCTGAAAGAATGTGATGCTGACCTAAAGGGAAGACCTGTCACCTTTTGTGGTAATGATCACATTTGCTCTGTAAAAACTTAAATCCAGATACTACAGAGGCCCTACTAATGGAAATGTTCCAGCAATAGGATCAGGAAATTATCTGGAAAATAGACCATTAGGAAATGATAGTTAAAAACTAAAATCTCTAATGCAGTTCTTATTTTACAAATACAGAAATATTATAATACATACACACTTGCTTTTTAAAAGCTTTTCTGTTTTTAATAGTGTATAAGAAGTAAGAACTGGTGAAAACAATTAGAAGTTTTCATTTAAATTTTTTTTTGTGTTACATCATCTCTTGTTTGATTTTCCTCCTATAACTGAACACTATAGATTTGTCAGTGTGTTTGTTTATTTTTGACCCAAACCAAAAGAGGATACTGTTATCATTACATCATGCTTTGCTTGTACTGAAGTGGAACACACACAGAAAAAATGATCCCTCCATGGTTTAATTAAGAGGAAAGTGAATTATGTAGTGTTTTACCATTCTCATTTCTTATTCATGTAGAACAGCAGGATAGCAGCATAATGTTGCAATAGCACAATATTTTCTGGTTGTTTCTGGGCTGTCTGCATTGCATCCATGTCAGCCATTAAATCTATGCATGACGACAAGGTTTGCATGAGCAAATGCATGGAGCTGAAAACAAGCCATTATTTCCATATCATTCACTATCTTTCACTAAATGCAGACAGTAGCATAATGCTGAATTGATGTGATAATGCTGTGTGTGGAAAAGAATGTACAGTAGTTGCAAATCAATATTTTTATAGTGTTGAGTGAATCACTTTATAGTAGGCATTGAATCAACTGTGCTTAAGAAAGGTTAATGGAGGTGGAAAATAAGCAGGCAGAGAATATTTTCTTGATAGAAACTACATCATTGCTTTAATTTTATTTCAATGAGGTGTCAGGACTAATGGTAAGTTGTTTCCTTCAACTTATTTTTAAAAATTAATAGTAATGAATTTTAAAATACAATAATATCCATATTATACGATATTTTTACAGCTAGGTATAAAACCATAGACCAGTGGTCAGCAAACTGTGGTTCACGAGCCACATGCGGCTCTTTGGCCACTTGAGTGTGGCCACGAAGTTTCAGTCGCATTGTACATGCACGCCCGCACGTGGTATTTTGTGGAAGAGCCACACTCAAGGGGCCACAGTTTGCCGACCACTGCCATAGAATTTTCATTGTGGCTACATTGCTACAGTAGTTGAAATATTAATGTAAAATGTCAGGGGGAAAGAAGACCTCTGTGCCAGAGAAGAAGACCTCTAAAAATAATCCTATATAATAAAAGGCTAATATGCAAATCGACCGAATGGCAGAACGACCAGTCACTATGATGTACACTGACCACCAGGGGGCAGATGCTCAATGCAAGAACTTCCCCCTGGTGGTCAGTGGACTCCTACAGGGAGAGTGCCACTCAGTGAGAAGCCAGGCTCAAGGCTGGTGAGTGCAGTGATGGTGGTGGGAGCCTCTTTCACCTCCGTAGCAGTGCTAAGGATGTCCGACTGATGGCTTAGGCCTGCTCCAGGGAGCAGGCCTAAGCCATCAATTGGACATCCCCTGAGGGCTCCTGAACTGCTAGAGGGCATAGACTGTGCTGAGGGGACCCCCTCCCCCGAGTGCACGAATTTCTTTCACCGAGCCTCTAGTATGAAATATTGATGTGAAATAATAATCTGTTTGAATCTATTATTTCATTATAGCTTTTATTTTTTTTAGATATCCCCCCAAAAAACACAAAAACACCAAATTTGCTAAGGCAAAATTATAGATATATTTACCAGCTTTATACATATAAGTGCTCCTCAGTGTATTGAACAAATATTTATGAAGATTTGTATGCAAGCACCAGCTTAGACTGTGTGCCATACAAAGAAGTGTAAGCCACAAACTCTGCCCTTCAGTGCCCATAGTCACCATACATACATAACAATTATAGTATATGTGCCATACGTAGGTAGCATATGGACCAATCCTATTTTGAGTGCAAGAATAGGAGGAATTTCATATGAGGTAATTGGGAAAGATATTTCTGTAGAAGGGAAATTATTATCATTATGGATAATGTCTAGAAAGCTGGAAATAGCTGAACTTGGCTTTACCAAGGGAAAGGAATCATAAATGACATCTATATGAAGAACACCCCTCCATTTTGTGCTCTTTCCTTCACAGGAAAAATGCTATGAAAATATGAGGAGTTGCCTGACCTCCCCACTGCAAAGCATAGGATTAGCCTTCCTTCCCTCCTTCTACTACCAAATTACCATCTTGTCTTTCAGGCAACAGTTGCAGCTTTTGCTGCTAGTGAAGGCCACTCCCACCCTCGGGTAGTCGAACTGCCAAAGACTGATGAAGGCCTTGGTTTTAACGTGATGGGAGGAAAGGAGCAAAATTCTCCCATTTATATCTCTCGCATCATTCCTGGAGGGGTGGCTGAAAGACACGGAGGCCTCAAAAGAGGAGACCAGCTGCTATCAGTGAATGGAGTGGTATGTTCATAACATAACCAGAAGTTTTCTCCTTAAGCACATTCTCTCTCCCCTTACCCCCTGCCCCTGCTGTTACTGAAGTTAGTGTTGATACCCTGGAACAAATCATAATTTTGTGTCCAATCAGCTTTCTAAGCGTTGATGGATATTAAACTAGCAAAAACAGTAATTTTACAGTTTTTATGTCTCATTTCATCTTGTCCAGATGTGATCATCCCAACTGGTAGAATTTCTCCCATATTTACTTTAATTGAATTAATGGTTAGAAGAACATAATAATTTCTAGGCACTCTTTATTCAATTTACTATAAACAAATACATTTAAAAAATAAAGATAAAACTCTTCACCCTATATATTTTATTTTAATTAAAGAGGAAGGATAATTTTCATATACGTAATAATATATATGGAAAATGGCAATGCACAGGTAATTCTTTAAGCCAAGTGTGCAGCAATAGTATAATAAAAATACGTCAGCTTCCGAATGTTTGATTATATTATCTATTATTTCATATATTTATTTATTTATTCTCACATGAAGTTGGAATAAACTAAAGTAAGTAACATTTTAAAGTAAAAGCAGGAACATACATTTTTTCCATAACCTCATATTCTTTGGATGCCATTACTTCCACATGTAATAATGAGTTGCCAAAGAAATAGCTTACTCTAAAATGAATAATTTTATCCCCATAACTTCTACCTACATCAAAAACAAATAACCTAAAAGTACACATTTCAGAAGTATAAATAGGAACATGTCAATGGTTACCTTTCTATTAATCTAAGATCTTTTTCTTAAGAATTTAAGATTTTAATAAATAAAATAGATTTGTGTGCTTTTTTGTGGACAGATGATTTCTGCTTAGACTACCAAAAATAAAATTCATTTTAAAATGTAATATTTTATTGGTAACTATGGAGAAAATTTTTCTGTACTTATCTTATGTTTTATTTCTTTTTTATTTTTAGCCTGACTAGTAGTTTTATAGAACCCAAAACCATTCAACTCTGCTGGTCTCTGATGTGCTTCAAAATCATCAACCCATGAATATTTTATGTCATTTCAGCATTTGAATTCTAAAATTACCATTTCATTTACTTTTCTCTATGTAACAATGCTTTGAGATGAGCTTTTTATTGACCTGTAGATAACTGTGACTTTTTCAAAGCTTGTTTCAACTGATAATTTTAGAGTCAAAATCTAGTAGACTACTCGAGAGCTTGGTCATGTAGTTATGTCACAAAGTAATTAATCCGTGCCTCAGTGTATGAATTTATAATTTCTCTGAATATATTGGGTAGATAAAAAGAAAGTATAGATTTTAAAACATGAAAAGTACAAAAAGGGACCAAAAATATATTAGTAGTAACTGTAATTATATAAAGCAATAATAAATACATATGAAATCACTTTAATAGGTAGTTCACTTCTAACTATCAGTCAAGGTGAGCTAAAAAGTCTTTATTTAACCCATACAATTGCAGTAAACACATCTGTAGGCTTTTAATAATTATTCATCCATTTCTGGCAATGACCAGGTGGGAGGCTTTAAATGGTGGTGGTGGGTGAGGGGATTGGAGAAATGAAATCAGACACATAAGACTCTACCACCTAAAATCTATATGATTAAATTAATGTCCCCTATACTTGAATTTCCTAATATGGATAAGGGGAGTAGTGACTTGAAGGGTGCTGATGAAGATTAAAATAAGACAAAATGTCCGTTGAGAGATGTCCAGTGATCATTTAGTCACACACATCTTTGATAGATAAAGGTGGTTACTAACGCAGGTTGAAGCACGTTAGCAATCCTCCTATTATCATCCTAATGCTAATTATGTTAAAAGTAAGCCTTAAACCAACTTCTGCTAAACTTACAGGCATATTTTAGCAAACATTTATTAGCAAAAAAAGCCTAATAGATTCATGCAACCTCTTCCGTAAGTTTGGTGAAATCGTAGGAAGGTGTATGCCACTAATTTTGCCAATGAGAGAATGCACTTCTGCCATATTTTTGCTAATAAGCAAAACATTATCTGTTCATTGAAATAGGTAAAACAAATGCTTTTATAGTAGCCAACCTCTAAAGTGTTGCCTTTCTGATAGAATGCTTTCTGACCACCTTGGATTGGTTAAAAAAAAGCTTCTAAATTTAGAGTTTAAGATATTGCACTTCCATATAATCAAGCCATATATTATAAATGATCTATTTTAAAATATTTAAAAGTAAGTTATCTACATTTTAACAGTGTCTAATTTTTATCAGATGTTCATCAAGAGTAGTTTTCCTTCTGTCAATGCAAACCTGCACGGCCCAGTGGGCTTCCCATAGTCACACAGAGTGGCTAATCCAAGGCAAAGTTCCATTTAGCATGCTTGATAATGAGTCACTAATTTCACCAATGAGAATGCACTTCTGCCATATTTTTGCCAATAACACCAATCCAGGAGTCTTTTTAATATGAATAATTCCAGTCAAACAGAAATATTTAATGAAAAAATTTACTCTGTATTGAAAGGGCCAAAGAAGAAAAAGAGAGAAAATATCAGCAAATGGTCAAATTATTACTATTTACACTTAAAATAAAGAACCATTTGGGGAAATTAATATGGAAGATTTTCAGAACATGCCATTCTAAACTGAGAGTATATTCTGGAACAGCATGATTTGTAGGGCTGACGCAAACCTTAACCGCTTCAAGACCCTAGGGGAAGTTTCCTAACGCCCTACTTAGAAAGTAAAGAAATTATTCCATAGATCTTTAAACATCTGAAAAGATAAAGCATCTTAGAAGTCAAAAAGAAGGAAACTCATACTAGCTCAGCTTTCATTAGGAGAATTTTTTTTTTACTATCCCTGAGCTCCAAACGAAATTTCCTATGAGACTTTTACTAATGAGACATTGAATCATCTAATGCATTTTTATAGAAAATGCAGAGGCCTTTTGTGTATGGCTGCTGCTAAAGTCAACTCTCAGTAAAAACTTAGAGCTGAATTCTCAATAAAAATTTAACATTAACAGGAAGTGAAAATGTTTCAGATAGAATTTATAGCTACTTAATGATCTCCTGTTCACCCTTTTATGCCCAAGTATTTCATCAACAATTTTGAGAAAAGACTAAAGGATTTTTTATAAAGGCAACAGCTGAGGTGGAGCCAGTAAATACATTTAGTGATAGAGTCCAGATATAAAAAAATCTCAATAGCATGGCACAGTAGGCCTAATTGATTAAGAATCTACATGAAGTCCTGCTCCTACTCCCAGAAAACTAGCTACCTATGTGCAGAATTAAGGAGAAATGGCTAAACATCATAACCTGGAAAAAAGACAAAATGCCTGGGGGATTTTCATTGATTTTAAGAAAAATATAAGGCAAGTTGGGGAAAACAAAAACATGTTAATGTGATTGTAGGGGCCATGACTACAAATATTGTGCACAGATATGAGATATTAGTCCAGCTCTTGAACATGCTGTTCAGCTCATAGCTCATTGTGCTACCCAATCCTGGTTCCTTCCTTATGAAGAACAGTAAGCTAGTTCAGAAATGGGCAGTCCTGAATATGATGAACATGTTAAAGAAGGACATGAGCTGTTTAGGATAGAGAAGAAAACATTAAGGGAATGATGGCTGTCTTCAGTCTTACTCCACCGTGTGAGGCACCAGATGGCAGAGCCAAGACCAGTGGGTAAGTCACAAGGAAGGCAGATTTCAGCTTATTAGAACAGAGCTTTTAGACACTTAGAGCTCTATAAATATGGAAAGACTGAATCATGAAATAGTATGTGTCCTTCATTTGATGTTTTATTCAGAGATTAGAAGACCACTGGCAAGAATATTTCAAAATTTATGCACTGTGTAGAGCTAGAACAGTTGGCCCAAAGTCCATTCTAACCCTGTGACTCTGATTCTGTGTCTTCAGATGAGATTTTGTCGATACTGCCATATATTCCTACACATACGCACACATTCCCACATCTCCTTATACAGGTAAGCAGGCTCCACCTAGTTTCTATGCACACAACTGAGACATTTTTCCTAAACAGAAAATAGAAAGGGTATAAATATACTACAGTATAATACCTATTATATTTTTTATTTACTTAGTACTCTAAAGGGAGAAAGCCTAAAAGAATCAACCTGCATATGATATCGTACTGGCACTGAGGGAAAAAGGGCAGGTGGGAAGCAGGAAACAGAGGACCAAAAGATAAAATAAAATCACAAGAACTTTAAAAATATGTCATAGAGAAAGGAGGCCTTCATTAGCATCTGAAATCCAAGCATCATTGGTAGGAAAATTGCAGTTAAATTCACCCAGCTCTGTAGTTAATCCTAAATAAAGCCATCGATACAGTGTATGCACAGTTGCTAATTGATTTTTAAGCATAACAGATGAATGAGCAAAAATTTAGGGATGGAACAGAATAAATTGTTTTCCTGGAATCTGGCCTTTTTCCATTTTATAAATATCTATGCCAAGTTAAGAGTGAGTACTCACAGCTCAAATTATTTATGCAGGAAGACTGTCAGGTGTGGAATGAGGATGGGAAAAAAAAAAAAACTTAGAACTCTGGATTTGAGTGCTATGAAGCTACAGCACATCAAGAGGAAATGTGTGTGAAAAAGTCTTATTTCTCTTTTATCTAAACAAAGAGAAAAACACAAATCATGTTTTTTAAATTGCTCTGAAATACTGTAAGATTTCTGTGAAAATGTAAGCTCCATTTTAAAATGCCTGCAGTAATTTTTTTGTTCATTGCCTTGTCTTTAGTCTTAGAACAGTCCCTGAATGTAGTGGAAGCGCCATATGCATTTTTTTTAAAAACTCAAGGTACCACTGTAAGCACTTTACATAATGAATTTATGATTCCCCCATAGTGATCTTTTGTGGTAGGTGCTATTATTGGCTCTCTCATTTAACAGATGAGGAAACCGAGGAAGAGAGAGACCAAGTAACTTGTCCTAGGTCACACAGCTTCTGAATGACAGCT